CTTCTCGCTTGTGGAACTCTCTTCTGGCTTCTTGCTTTCCAATCAACTTTGATCTTTAAAAATTTAAATGTAATGTTAATCATTATCTTCTGTCTTCTTAATAGTGTTTTTTCTCATGCTCTCTCACACTCTAGTAACCCTTGCTTGGGTGAAATGACTATATATATATATATATATATATATATATATATATATATATATATATATTTTACAATGAATCATTCATACAAAAAGTAATTTGTAAAGTTAATGATATAAAATAGCAAATTCACTTTGCTAACTAAATTTTTAAAATGTATTAACCCACTAACTGCTCAATGAATGTTATGATCCTTGTTTTTAAAATTATAAACTGTATTAGGTCTTCCTTAAATATACAAGTACTTTCGACGGGTTCTCCGGTCATCATCAGGCATGGAAATGATTTTCTTTTTGGTAAAATTCAGGTAGCATCCGAGATGAAAAAAATATAATGCAAATCAAAATATGCTTTTTTGAAGAGTGTTATTGATAACAGATAGAAACTTGTGTAGCATGCAGTGGCAACACTAAGGTTGAATTTTTGAAAATTTAATTTTGAAAATTTACTAATATGGCAATTTAAGAATTTTTTTGTTGTAGGAGTTTATTAATCAGTGTGGCATGAACTAAATAGTTCAATAAATAGAGCAATGTCTCAGTTGTTTGCCTGAAAATTTGCACATCAGATTAGTTCTTTTAAATCAAATATGTGGTGCAGTTTAATTTATATTACAATGAATCATTCATAAAAAAATTCATATCTCATTAACTTTACTAATTTATTTTCTGTATGAATGATTCCTTGTAATATAAATTAAACTGCACCACATATTTGATATATATATATATATATATATATATAGATAGAGAGAGAGAGAGAGAGAGAGAGAGACTTGTGTGTGTGTGTGTGTGCAATCTGACCAAACGGCCAATTTTCATGCATACTGTGAAGATAGTTGAGGAAAAGAGAAAAGTTAATAAAATCCATTTCCCTTGTAAGTTGAAGTGAGGTGTATAATTTGCCTCCTGACAAGGTGATAGCTAAATTAGTTAATAAGAGGCAATATCTTTTAATCTATTCTGCCAATTCTCAGCCTGCTTAACCTGCTATTGGCCCGAGTATTCAGTCAACCAATCTACTTACCTGTTATCTACTCAGCCATTTATTCTATCATTTCGTCTATCTTGCATTTCAAGATTTATTTCTGTACTATCTTAAAATCGGTTTCTTTTCTTATATAAAAACTACAATGTTTTTTGCCAAAATGTGACTTTAAAATGTGGTAGGCAACCAGTATTTATTGCAATTTTATAATATTCTTCTTCTATATGTCATGTCCATTCAAGAGGTGAGCGATCATCTTTCTTCAAAATTTCCTGTCCTTTGTAGCTCTTAGCAATGTTTGTCTTTTCCCTATCTCTCCTAATCCCTGTTCTGCCAACCATTTACACAAGTTCCTTCTTCTTCTATGTCTCAATGACCTTTCACGGCATGGAAGATCATGGCTCTCCACAATTTCCTCTCCTTTGTAGCTCTTAGTAAAATTTGTCCTTTTGCTATCTCTCCTAATCCCTGTTCTGCCAACCATTTACACAAGCTCTTTCTTCTTCTATGTCTCATGACCTTTCACGGCATGGAAGACCATGGCTCTCCACAATTTCCTCTCCTTTGTAGCTCTTAGTAAAATTTGTCCTTTTGCAATCTCTCCTAATCCCTGTTCTTCCAACCATTTACATAAGCTCATTGGGCAGGTTATGTGCTGCTTTACCCTGTCCCATTCATCTTCATTATGTCCTGTGAGTATCAAATTTTCCAAGCCCTCTTTCTTCATTATGTGACATAGAAATTTCAACTATCTCTTTCTGATGCTAAATATAAGTGACACTTTTACTTCCATTTTCTCTAAAACTTTGCCATTACTCACTTGTTCAGTCCATGGTATTCTCAGCATCCTTCTGTAGAACCATATTTTTGTTGCCTCAAGTCTCTTCATCTGTCAGGATATTGTCCAGCATTCACTTCCATACAAGAGGACTGATATTACATAACAGTCCAGTATTGTTTTCTTTGTTTCTAATGATATTTTTCTGTTCCTTAATATTTCCCTTAGCTTTTGGAAAACATGTTTCATTATTCTAATGTGCCTTTGGATATTGCTATCACATTTTCTGCCCTGTTAAAACACTTACTAGATATTTAAAATGTACACTTGCTTGATTTTGGTGTCTCAAGTTTGTAATTGTCATGTTGGTCTGTTCCTTTCACGTCATGTAGATGACAATAAACTACATCTGGCAGAATGTCCTCTGATCAAGAGGTTTTGAAGAGCATGGAACCAGCTCTTAATTGCTGTTGTTCCCAGGTTCATTCTAACCTGGAGTGGTAGCACCTGTCAGGGTCCCAAACAAAAAACAAAACTACGGGTCTAAAACATTTTTATATAAAAGCATATGCTGAAATATTCAGGAAGGAAAATATTTAGATTTCTAAAGCAGTTGTTTCAATCAATTTTCATCATACGCACAAGGATGTAATGGCTCATTCTGACCAATTAAGCCCCAGAATTGAAATGTTGTGAAGAAGACACAAGAGGAAGAAAGGATGAGTTCAGTTAAAATCAAAACTTAAAAAGAACTACAATTGATTTTGAACACTTATTTTTCTATGAGTTTGTGGTTATCTTTTCCACTGTACAATTTTAGTTATTAATAAATAATGTCTTTTATTCTATGTCCATTCACAATCAGCTTAATTTAAATTTTAGTCTATTTTAAATAATTTTTTGTTTTTTTTATTCTTGGGAGTAACATCCAGACAATCAAATAATTTTGTCTGGGCATGATAAAAAAAGCTGATTCAAGGATAACTATTTTCAAGATCAAACAAATTTCAACATTCAAAATCTACTACAATCAAATGATCTAATCTGATAAAATTTTAGTTATTATTAAATAATGTCTTTATTCTACTACAATCAGCTAATAATTTTAGTTATTAATAAATAATGTCTTTATTCTACTACAATCAGCTAATAATTTTAGTTATTATTAAATAATGTCTTTATTCAACCACCATCAGCTGCAACTTGTCTGCTCAAACACAGAACATTGTTTAGTAAAAAAATGTCCAGTACAAAACTTTACACACCACTTATGACACTTTTGAGCATTTACAGAACCTTATTCATAAACTGCAGACTATTTCTTTTTAATTTGAATTGTATTTTTACATTTCTTTTAAAATACAAAACATAAAATGCTTCAAATGTTCTTTGCTTTTGATTTTTATGTCAGAACCAATAAACAAAAATCTGCCAATTTTGATGAAACCTTTTAAAGAAATTCTTGCTACTATGACAACTGTCAGTATAATTGAAAACAATTTTTGAACAAAGTTTATTAAAAGCTCCACATGTCATCTGATAAAGCCAAACCAATGTTTTGGTCCACCCAACATATAGCAATGAATAGACACTATGACAGTTCCTTGAATAAAGAAATAGTTAAATATAACAAGAGATTGAAAGTTTGTTTCTGAATGAATGTCTCAGAAAGCTGTGTGTGCTTTTGCCAGACCAGACTACATAGATGGTCAGATATGAATATCTTGAGATCAATGGCTGAATATAGGTAAATAGCTGTGGACAGCCAGAGATAGAGAGATCAATATCTGCAGACAGACTGTGGTAGTGAAATCAACGAAATTAAAAGAGAGGTTCTGGGAAAGAAACAAACAAATAAACCAACCAATATACCGAAATGATTATAGACAGATAGATCCGTAAGAAGATTTACCTATGCTCATGCATAATAAATAAAGTAGATATACAAAAGGGAAAAGTAAGCAATGCTTTTTCAACTTTTGTGTGATGAAATCCTGGTGCCGAGGGATTCAATGTCACGCCTTCATTTTGCACTTGTAAGATTCTTGTGGAAATCAGTCTTAAAATGAGAACAATGTTTGTTCCACTTAGAAGAGGATGGCAGTCTGCAGAGTGGGTTAATAACTAGTGTCCCTACTGAACAAGCCACTTAATAGAAATTGTGCGCAGTGGTCAGTCAAAGATCAGTGATTTGTGGATCAATCCTAGCTCCTCTCTTCTTTTGGCAACTGGAAATTAACTATCAACCTTTTTCTTTCTTTTACTTAACAACACTTACTTAATTCTGTTTTTTTTTTCTTTCTTTTGCTTTCCTCATCTTTCTTTTTTGCTTCATTTCCGTTTCCTTTCACAAAAAATGTCTTTTATTATCCTCTTAATATCTTTCTTCAATATTTCTTCTTTCTCTTTTTTTTTCTTTTATTTCTCTTCACTTTCCTTTCAGTCTTTTGTCTTTTATTTTTCTCTTTTTCATCTATCAACTCTGTTCCCTCCTTTCTCATCCAAATTACCCTTTTTATTGAAATCAGCTTCTCTCTTTGTCCCCCTCTATCTCCCTCTCTGTCCCCCTCCATCTCCCCACCTACTATCTCCCTCTCCCTCTCCCTCTCTTTATCTCTCTCCCTCTCTCTTACCCTCTCCTTCGCCCCCCTCTGTTTCCCTCTCTCATCTGCCCTCTCTCTATCTCCCTCTCCCGCTCCTCTTTATTTCCCTCTCCCTCTCTCTTATCCGCCCACTCTCTATCACCCGCACTCTCACCCACCCCCTCTCTCTCCCTCTCCCCACCCTATTTATTTTTTGCTCACTCTTTCTGATTTATTTTGATTCATTCATTTTTTACAGCTTATCAACCCTTTGCAGGTTATTTAAATCCAGAAAATGGATTTTAAATTGTAAAAATGTTTAGGAAATAATAATGATTTAGTGATACAAGTTTGACTAATTCATCCATAGCTAGGGAGAGAAGAGTCAGATTCATACCTTTCCCAAGGGTATTTGCATGTAAATGAATATAACAAACACAACTGTAATTGAAACTTGGCTCTCCAATTAATAATTCTAAGCCATTATCCATTAAACCACCAGCACATCCAACTTTACAGCACCTGGTATTCCCAAGTGGTCACCCATATAGGTACTGACTGGGCTCAACTACTTAACTTCAGTGATATTACAGGAACCAGTATTTCAATGTGATATGGCCTTAAGCAACATTTTCTTTTCATAGTTTTTCCTTTGCTTCTTTTTTTTCCTTTTCCAAGTCTCCTTTCTCTCTTTTTTCTCACTTCTTTATCTTTCTTTCATATTTTATAAGCATTTCCTTTCAATTTACCACTTGTCAAATGATTTTCTTTGCTACTATTATTTTTAATCTCCATTCTCTACACTTGAAATTCATTATTTTTTTCTTTGTTCTTTTTTATCTCCCTTCCACTTTTTCAATTCAACGAACTTGTTTCTTCCGCTGAAATGGATCACCAACAAATATCCCAAACATTATTCCTCCTTATTATTGAAATTGTCACAAGAAGATAGAAACCAACAAAGCATTGGCCTGAAAAAAATCATCAGACACACTGTACAATTTCAAATGCTGCTAGTAAAGAAGTCATTCAATGTGGTATTTTTATTTATACACACACACACAATATTTTTATTTACATATACACACATATATGTATTGTTATGAGGCCCCATTTTCGTCCTACTTCTTTACACTTACACTATAAAATACAAAATCTAATTTAAAATGATGACTTAAATCTGTAGCTACTAGACACCCTTTTTACCTGACGAAAAGCTTCCATTCACCAAACGCTTTAGATTTCATAATAATAGAATGGAACTTTCTAGAAGTCTCTAGAAACTTCTACTGGGTTCTAGAGAGTCCAAAAAACATATATAAACATGAGTTCATACCAACTAGCCAGTTGCCTTCTGAACCCACCACCATGACTATTGTGGTCAACTCTGGTCCTTTTGATTCAAGAACAAAGCTTCAACCGAAAAAATCTAAATTCCTACAGTCCTCGAAAAGAAAAGACTATAGATAAATACTTCACCCCTTTCTTTGATATTATTGACCAAACTCTTTTATTTTATATATATGTGAATTAATCAAACTATTTTTAAGAAGAAAATAATATAATTCTTTGACTAGCGACAAATTCCCATCCATTGCCAAAATCTTAACTACAGTGGATTTCCTCTCCCACTCCCATGTATAGTTACACTTTAAGCCAACTACTTTCTGGGCTCTGGAACACTTAGTAACTTGTTAGCTTTTCCTAACTTATATTGTTTTAAACCTCATCCCTATTGTTCTAAAAGATATTGTATTATATGTAAAAAAAAAATCCGCATTTCATTTCTAGATGTAATCTCTTTTCTTCAACCTTAATTTCTACAAATCTGGTTCTGATTTTGTGTTGCACCAGCTGTAACAGTACATATAATTGCGTATATATGTATGCTTGAACGCATGGATGTATATCTGTGCCTAATCTCAGATCGTTTATACGGGTGTGTTTGTGTGAACTAAAATGCATACACCTGTATGTATGTGTGTGTGTGTGAGAGAGAATGTCATCCCAAATGGAAACAGAGAAGAATTCCCCCCTCCCACCACCAAACATAATCAAATGCAAACAAGCATAAATAGATTCAATTTTTAAAAAATAAACCAGTTTGTCTGATGATCACAAAAACATGAAACCCAGGGTCACAAACTCATATCCATACAACTGAATATATATATATGTCACGAGACATTTCCGCCACACTTCCAATCTTTAAATTTCAACATACAAATGCGTATGTATATGTATAGACACAACACCACCCGTATACATACATATGTCATATCCGAAACTGCCCATATATGTTTATATATGTATGAGTCCCAATGGACGACCAAGTATGTATATGTGTCTGCATACATCGATGTTTGCGTTAGTACAATGACATAAGCGACGAAGTTTCCCCCACCACCACAATAACACCAATACACGCAATCTACATAAACCCAAATTTTTAAAAAAATTATTCAGTTTGTCTGATGATCGCTAAAGTGTGAAACCCAGGGTCACAAACTCACATGTCTCCAACCAAATATATATATATATATATATATATATAGTACAGGTAATAAATCCATTGGTATATAATCCAAGTGGATCCTAGTAGTATCAAATATTAAAAATGATCCACAAAAAGAGCTCAATGTATTTATTATTACAGAGTATACACCAGGGTTATATAACCCTGATGTATTTCACATTAGTTGAAATAGATCTATACCCATATGAAATAATTATATATATATATATATATATATATATATATATATATATATATCATATTAGAAATACAAGCTGTTCCAGAGCTATTAGAACATGAACACACTTGCAGTACTTGTGGAAAAGTCACTCTTTGGTGGCTGGTTCAGGCAGTCACATGAGATCACACCAGAGTGTTCAGGTGAAAAATCCTGTGGATGCAAACCTACCAGAAAAACCTGCAAGTTACTTGTGCAAATTTTATGCCAAGGTTTTGGGAGTCAGCCATGGGACTCAAACATCACATAATTATACACAGGAAGAGGCAAGTTTCCAATGTAGGTCACAAAGACAATCTTTATGTTTTCCCCGTGTGTAAGAGAGGTTGTAAAAGAGAAGCTGGTCTTAAGAATCACTTCCAAGCCCATAGCAGAGTAAAAATTATGGAAATAATGAAATTCCAAATAAAAAACAGAAAAAAAAGCAACCAAGTGAAGAGATGATTATCTTCTGCAAAGAAGTGTCAATCATCTTGTTTACAATTTGTTATATTTATTAGAGAGAAGTCCTTATTATCAGGTATAGAGCATTTGTAGATATAAATATGGACATAGGCATCAACACTGCATAATGACTGTCAGTTCCATGCCTTAAACAATTATCAGATCATGTGCTCTTTTTATATAAATCTTTCTTTCTATAGATTGCTGAAGGCTTTATGGGAGTAGAAAAAGTGGAAAATGATATTTTGCTAATTTTCGCTTTCGGGCAAATGTTTTTCAACTATTTATAGTCCTGATTGACTTTATATATTGTCATAGCATACCTACGGACAATAATGGTTATGTCTCCATTCACATAAATACAGTAGTAAATACTGTATGTTGGTCTAGAGTTGGAGATTTATTGTGGAATTCAATTGACTCACTTCTAGCAGTTGACTATTGTTTGTGTCCTAAGTATTATCATTCATTACCAACCTTTATTCGATTATTCTATTCAGTAACTTTCTCTAGGTTACAACATATATTTTATGTATTTTTATATCATTTAGTTGCTTTTAAAATTTTGTATATGCTTTTAAAGAAATTTTATTAGGTTTGATTTAGTTTGTTTTACGGCATATCAACCTCAATGGGTTATTTAATGCCGACAAGATTTTTATTGTTGGTAATATTTTTGTCCAAAGATGTATTGCTGGTAATATTTTTTTTTCAAAAATGTATTGCTGGTCATAATCTTTTGCTGGTAACAATTTTTTCCCCAAAATTCATTGATAGCAATAATTTTTTGCAAATTTGCCCATAACTGGGACCCTAACAGGTGCTACCCCCTTGGGTCAGGATGGACCTGGAAACACCAGCAATTAAGAAATGGTTCCAAACTACTCAAAACTTCCTGATCAGAGGCCTTGCTGTTGGATGTAGTTTATAGTCATACCCAGGACAGAAATTTTATCAGTTTCAGGTTACTAGCCATTCATTATTTAGTGTTTGATGTTGTGATGTGGTTGTAGGTAGTGTAGTAGGAATTTGTATTCATGTCTGCATTTGGAAATGAACTTTAATATTTGGTTCTCTCCTCAATTTTGTGTTTAAAACACAAAATTGAGGAGAGAACCAAATATTATCACAGTTAGTTAAAAACTGACAGCCTTCCGATTCTGAGTTTTAATTTCAAGGGAAAAGTCATCACAAGGAAAATCAACAGGAAATGTTATGGATAAAGTGGAAAGATGTGAAAACAAAAGTGAAGGGAGGAAGAGTAATATGTAAGAGTGTAAAGAGAGGAGAGGAGACACGGGGAGAAAAGTGAAGGGAGGAAGAGGGATACGTAAGAGTGTAAAGAGAGAAGGAGAGGAGACACAAAGAGAAGAGTGAAGAGAGAAAGAGGGATATGTAAAAGTGTAAAAAGAGAAAGAGAGGAGACACAGGGCAAAAAGTGAAGAGAGAAAGAGGGATATGTAAAAATGTAAAGAGACAAAGAGAGTAGAAATGGTAAGTAAAGTGAAAAGAGTAGAGAGGGTGAGAAAGAGAATAGATAAGAAAAGTAGAGAAAACGAGGGAAGAGATAAGTAAAGTCAAGGAAAAGAAAGATTAGTGTAAGGAAAGTGAAGAGGGAAAGAGAAAAGATCTGGTAAAAAAAATGGAGAGAATGAGATAAGTTATGGTAAGAAATGGCAAGCACACCTTGTCAATTTTCTACCTTGCTTGAAAATTTACAAGTTATGATCCATGGCACAAATACATTGATCTTGTTCACAATTTCATTCTTGGCTGAAGCTGATTCGTCCTTCCTTTTCTCTCATAACAGATTTTTAAGAATTGATCTTATTTCTTTCATATTCATGTTACATCCATCACTTCCCTCACAAATGTCTGTAGATATACAAGTCAAATGACACTCCCTCTTTCAACATGGCTTTATTTTTAATGCTTAGCCTCTCCTCCCAGTTTCTATAGCAGTGTTTTTCTTGTGGGGGTGCTCCTTTTATTGTGAGGCTCCAGTGAACTGAAAGATAATTATGGAAGTGACTTCATTATTGCTAAGCCTCAATCCAGCCCATCATCTTAACCAGACTAACATCTTAGAACCTTTTTTTTTTTTTTTTTGCAGATGTCTAACATACATGAAAATGCCAGCTAAGTAGTTGGCTTGAAATAAAAACCATTTGCAAATCCCATTTTTAAAATAGTTAACTTCTGAAGAAAAAGATAAAACAGCTATAAAAAGAAGATTTAAATACAGTAATCATGAAATGACAGCCTTTTATTATGTCCTCATATATTTTGGCAAAATCTATAAAGTGTTGGAGATGTACAATCATTATATTTTCCTTTCAATAAATGACTGTCAACTATTCAATTTTGTATTTACTTTCAACTTTGCTTTAATTAAATGAGGCATTGTCAACTATTAGAATTTT